ACCGAAGAAGTCGGTCAAAAAAGCGTTGCTCCAGGGCAACACTGTGTTGCCACTGCCACACAAGCTTGTGTGCAGCATGCTAGAGTGTTAGATTGCGCTACACTGCTACACTGTGCCCTGTCACGCTTGTCGTTCTGTGTCCGGTGTTGGTGATTGTTCCTAGGAACGGCCATGGCCAAGTTTGCCTCCACCTGGCTGTCGAAGGTGGGGCCTCGCTCTCTTTCTCTCTCTCTAACATTGTGCCTGAAGAGCAGCTGCTGATGGATATGTAAGATGCTGGTGTAAAGGTGGAAAGCACAACCATGTCTGAGATAAGATCCAGGTCAAGATCAGCGTTTGCAAGTGCTTCACGTGGAGTTGCCGGAGCCCAGCGCAGATGGACCACACGCAGGGTGCAGAGACTGCTTCTCCCTCAGAGCTGAATGCTCTTCGCTTCTGTCAATGATGCGAGAGGCGATGCCATTACCCAGGTGCGACGCGCGGCATCTGCCACGGCATGCTGTCGGCCGTGAGCTTGAAGCCTCGGAGAAGTGGCAAATTTCGTTTGCAAAATGAGCCTAGGCCTGGGCAGCAGACGTCCCCGTGAATTCTCATGGAGGGCATCTGGCGGCATTTGTTCTCCAAGGCCACCTGGACTGTTGCCTATGCATCCCTATGTTGGCAGCTTATGGCAGCTTGACCTCTCAGCGAAACCTATGAATCGCATTCAGCCCCAAGACTTGATGTGTAGTTTCTCTAATGGAGCTTGCGCGTAGCATCTTGCTGTGCCCATGCAGCCGAAAAAGTGCGCATGTGGAACCGGCCGCTCTATGCAACATTCACAACCAACCAATAACACTGAGGAGGTCAAGTGAGAAGGCTCAACTGCACAGCACGAGGCTTCTGGCTCTTGGCATGTTTCTGTCACGTGATGTGCCAATGCGTTTTCTTGCAGTCCATTGTGAGCAACTCCGGAAGTCTGAAGCACCAGGTGCAACACGCCTGCGGAATTTAGCAGGACTTTTGCAAAATCTGCAACCATCTCTTCCTATTTTGCTCCACTCTAGGACGGTCAGCTGCAAAAACTTGGGCTTTGGATGTTCAATTGATTGCAGCCCCTTAGACTCGCAGCATCGAAGAAATGGGAAGTAGGTGAGAGTTGATCATGGGCTTGAGCAAGGAGAGGGGACCAGACGATATGCTCAGATACTGAATGGCAGTGTACACAGTTCATCCAACTTCCTGAATGCTGGAGCAGGTGGCTGCTTGTGGCTCTTATCCTCGGGCCTCCTCGAAGCGTGGAGCGTGCAGGCTGAGCCTTACTTGCTCAGGCACGCCTTACCTTGTTTTGTGCTCCAAGCCTGCGCTCCAAGATCATGCCCGACTGAACAGGCAGTGGGAAGTCGACTTGCCAGCTGACTTCCAGCCAACGGCTATGTGCAGGCCACCTGTTCGCTTCCGAAGGGATGACGTGCATTTCGTCTGTCAACTGTGTTGTTTAGTTGGGAAGAACATTGTGGAGTTTCGTAGTTTCACGTGCTGGTCAAGTGAACCGAGCGTCAGTTTCTCACTCGGCTGTACTGCTTTGAAACCACTCTATACCCAAACTGTTCAACGAGATTTGTGAGGCGTTGCTGCGAATGCAATTGTTTCCCTTGCCGCAGTCTCATTCTATCAGTGCCACATTGCATTCTGGATACCAACATTGCCAACAAAGCACCCCGCATCTCTATGCCACTCTATCCCCTAGAACGGCCGCAGGAAGAATTTAAGTATGGATATTCCGTGATATTCCACACAATTGATCCGCCGATCCTATGCCAGCGTTGATTCTCTGACAGTGTACCAGGTACACTGTCACCAGCTACTGACACAGTTGTGTCGCGACTCATCGGGATAGCGGTGCCGTGGCAAACCGGTGCACAGTTGTTGAAACGCCGGCTTGCCTCTGGAATGGCTCCGCCGCGGGTCATCGCCTGTCATCGCGTGTCTGTGCGTCGGGAAGTCCGTGTCGCACAGTCGTGTCTTGTTGCTAAGCGCTGCGTGAGCCTGAGTCGATAGGAGTTTGTGGAGTTTGCCAGCCTGAAGAGATCCTGTTGAGAGCTCTTCAGAGCTTGCAGATGCTTGCAGGCGAAGGCGAGTATGAAGAACGCGCCTCTGTCCATCATTTCTATGTTGATTCGCTGGAGGCTACTGCCGCTAAGTGCAACCTTCAAGCTTTCACAGTGCGCGATGGTGGGGTCTTGGTACTCAACCACTCTTCTTCAGAAGAAACGGGCATGCGAATCTGTTCGTCTCCCTTGCATCAGGCTTGAACATGTGTGCTGGCGCCAATGCCGCACCAGCATGTTGGAGGGCATTGGCGAATGTGGGGGGAGAATGGGGGAGAAGTTTGCTGGCCATCGTTGGTGTATGTTAGTGTACAACTCCTATCGACCCGTCGACGCGGTGTTCTGCCGCAGTGCCGAGTCTTGCGATTCGTGTGCCATCCTGATGCTGGGACCCTGTACCAATGACACTTCAAAGCACGAATTTCAAGATGTATCCATCCAGGGTTAGTAGGTGCGGGTGCGGGAAAGATGCTTGCAATTCCAGGACTTTTGCAGAAGTCCCCAGCTGTCTAGCGCTTTCCTTGGCGCAGTGAGTCTCATCTTTCGCATGCATCAAAGGAATGTCCAAAAATAGCTTTCCGTCTGAAGTTGCTTTCAGTTTGAGACTTCCAAACAAGGTATGCCTTGCAATTCACGTCAGTGGACCCCAAAGGTTTTGAGGGCAAGCGGCAGCCGCACAACCGGGTGCATCGTTCTGCGACCGACTGAGCCATACATATATCATAAAAGATCATGCACTTTGCCAAACCTGACTAGAGTCTCGACTAGAGTTCCGATCACGTAAATTCAAAGCGGGCAGAGCTTTTCTCTCATGGTAGAGGAAGTATACGGGACGGGACAGCAGGTTTGTCTATGTATGCAGACGGACGCAGAAGCGGAAGCTGAATTCACAGGTGCCTTTAACAGCAAAACATACAAGGTGGTGAACAATAGACGCGTATTGTTTCAGGCCAAACGCTTCTGGCTATGCTCTCAGAAGTTAAGCGCTATAACACTCGTTGCCCATGAAGATTCCCATCACCTCAAGCTCGCATTAAATTTCCCATCAAGATCCCAGGATATCCCAGGCAAATCGCAGCAATACTGGATCAAGATGCTGTTTAAATCCTGTGAGAAGCCCATGCCAACCTACATGAGCTCCTTCGCAGTCCCTTGTAATCCCATTGAAATGCTGTGGTAGTTGCAGCAAAGTCGAAGTAAACTCCCTTTAGAATGAAAAGAGAAAAATGTCAGAATCTAGGATTCATCACAGATCCGATCCAGAGGAGGAGGTTCGCGGAAGCTTCGTGGCAGCGGTGCGGAAGCTCGAGTGATGTGATCCAGCCGCTGTTGTGCGAAATCCTCTCTTCGCACAATTATGGCCAAAATTCGAAGCTCACAATTGCTAAGGGTGGCTGACCGTTCAAACAGGAACGTATTTTCTGGTTGCTTCGAGACACCAGTCAGCGAACATGCGAACTGAAGGCTTCTGGTTCGAAATAGTATGTATGATGGTACTTGAAAGTGATTTGGTAGTCTGCATGCCAGCTGCACGGAAGCCGGGGGCGGAGCAAGGCACGTGTCGACAACAGCAAATCGTAAACGATTATCGTTCTTATTCTTATGCGCTTCAGATCTCACATGAATCCCGTCGAAGGCACGCTAAGGCAAAGACGACTTGCTGTGTCCGCCATCTCAGCAAGGTGGGTGCAGCGGAATCAAACAAAAATATGCATATACAGACAAGCGCGTTTACGAGCAACATCGTACTTTCGGAAGCAAGTCTCGAAATCCTACCGAACACGGTTTGCTGAAGAACTTGGCGGAAGCGAAGGCATTGAAGACTACAACATGAACTTGTGGAAGGTGGGCGGACGGACTTCGCGGAAGCACTTCAATCCTGTAAAGAAATCGATCTAGAGAATAAGAACACAGCTGAAGTACCCATATTTTGTGGTACCAGACTGTACTAAGCCCCGAATAAGCACGTTTGCAACTGCAATTAGATAGCTATATAATAAAGCAGAAGAGTAGCTGGTCGGTTTTATATGCCTCGCCAACGTTACCCTGAGCACTAGATAGGGGCCGCGGATTGAACATGATATGGTGAGTTTGGTGGTATGTTATGCTAATACTGTATCATCTAATATCTTTATACGTGCGGAGCTCAGATGGATACTTCAACATGACGAACGAGATCATGTGGTCTTGTCGACATCAGCACAGGAGCATCAAATAGAAGAGGAACGAGATGAGGAAATTATACATTGCACCTGGGCCCGGCCATCAACAACAGCCAGTGCATGACATACCATGACATGTGCTTTGGCCGGTAGTTGACCCCATGAAGTCTTTGCTCGCAAAGATGTGCAAGCTATTTCAGACCCGTGCACTCTCCAGGTAGGGTGTCAAGCGCTGGCAATGTTGTGATTTCAACAGCAGAATTGCAAATCTTGCATCCTGTGAGGCACCAGGACTGCGAGCGCGCCGACTCAAGATTGCTTGTAGCGGGGCATTCGAGCCGTGGTCCAGGCTGCCGCTGCAATTGGCATGTTGCCACATCGTAATCTCTTCGCCTTTTGCTGATGCTGGGAGCATCTTTCACGTCTTTTCACTAACAGCTTTTTCGCAGGATAAGGCTGAAAGCAGTTTCAATGGGACACCCTTCCTAAGGTCTGTTATTATGTGTCTGGAAAGCTTAGCAGAATCTCTGCTTTTCTCTTTTGGATCGCGGATCGCGAGTCTGCGGATTGACGGCGTACGGGCTTAGCTGGGATGGCAATACGTACGCGCAATCTGGACGCGGTTACTTGCTCGAAGCCCGCATTTGCTTCCCAGGGATGTCAACTGTTTTTAAATGGTGCTTGGACAGTCTTGGACATCATGTTGAAGCCCAGGCTCATGATTTGGCTCAAGGGCGACATGGGAGATGGGACTTGAAAAGGGGTCGATTCCCGCAGATTTACGAAGGTGGACCCACTCGTGTTCTTTGGACGTCTTTTCTTTCAGAGCAAGGCAGCTTGACTTTAAACGAGGATGTTAGGGGCATTGGCGTTATTTCATTTGTAATTGCAGGAACGATGTCGACGAGCTGTGTCCGGAAGCAGCTTGGAAGTGCAAACAAACACATGTTCCATTCGCTCACTTGCGCAAGGCCTCTTGCAGCTTTTGCCGGTCGGTGGCAGAGCCTGATGTGCGAGCACACCAATTTTGAGGTCACAAGTTACCATTGGTCGTCTGATGATTTTTAGCTAGATTGGCTCATCCTAATGGATGGAGCTGCAAAAATATCTCTGAGCTGAGACGGATGGGAGCTATGAGTCAGTGGACTCCTGAAAAGGTAGACAGCAAGCTCACGAAGATGCCTTCTAGGTATGCTTTCATCTGGACCAGGTTGAATTCATGCTGCAGATGTTCCATCCAGCCAGGCTGTAATCAGCCGGGCGCGGCCACAGTGCATGGAGACGTTTGCACAGGTACAACCCATTTCTGCCCAGCCTTGCATACAATGCCACCAAGCTCTTCACCCGGCTCGAAGTTCAGCCCTTGCTTCAAAAGGTAGTCAGAACATCATGCTGGGAGCAGATGGAAGTGTGTGATTCATGATTCGGGCCGGGACGAAGACTGAATGGTTGAAGATGGTGTCAAGCTCAGCTTGGCTGCCAAACAAGCTCATCCGGAAAAGGCTTCTGTGCAGCGCACCTTTTAAACAACACTAGATGGCACATGCGAGGTGTTACGGTGCAGATATAATGGTGACATTGTGAAGAAGTGAAGAAGTGCTTGCTAGCTCAAACGATCCCACTTGAGAAAACGGGCTCTTAGCAAAAATAACACCTTCACGTCGCTGGAATGTACCAAGCTCAGCCACAGAATGTTGCGGACAAATGCACTCCGGGATTACGGTGGCCAGTTCATGCAGACACACGATTGCAGATGCAGAATCTGTTCAATCTTTACTATAGCTCTGGGGCATGTGAGAACTCTCATTACCAGAATCCTTTATTCGCCTCATCTACCAGGATATATCTTGCAATGCCCGCGCCGTGGGGGATGAGGGCTGACCAGGGCCGGGTGCGTGACCCTGTGTTCCAAGCTAAGCTCATGCTTGCAGTTGCTTGCATGAGATAAATGGAGTGCCAGCCACTCACAGAAGGCCGGTCTTCCACTTTGATGCCGCCGTCTCGAGTGCGGCTGGCAGCAATAACCTTGGAATCGGATTTTGGGAGCTTGTCAAATGGACTACAAGCACGGTTCAACCTGGAACCTGAGGCCGTCCAACCGCGTGGCCGAGCTGGAGTGGAGCCGGCGGAGCCGGCGGAGCCACGAGCACGCAGAGGTCGCCCACTGTTTTAACTTACTAAACAATCTGGCAAGGTGTAGTCCTGCCTTTTATGGCTTCCTGCGCTGCTGGAACAAGAGCCAGCAGCTCGCTAGCCCCGCTAATAGCCTCTGACTTCTGATTCATTTCCCTACCCCAGTGTCGCGAGATTCAACCTTCACGTAGATCGACTGGTTCTGCTATCCATTACCTTTTGTGCTCCCAACCGCAACAAGCATGGTTCGAGCCTACAAGCATACAATGTGTACGAGCACCTTGAGACCAGCTTCAGAGCTGACATAGTGACATAGTGGGCTTTGCACCATCCTGCACCATTGGTACCGTCTTCGATTGTTTCAATTCAATGGCCATCTTCGATGATGGAGCATGGCTTTATGCAACAGACAGAGGGCTGCATGCGGGCATTGGTGGCCTTTTATGCTGAAGTTCTCAGTGATGCTCGCAGATGCCACGTACCGCGGCGTCACTGATGTGGTTTTCCAAGACACCAACGATGCTTTTGGAACACTGGCAGGACCAATTAGCTGGACGCCTCCATCGGATTTGACGGATGTCGATGGCTATCGCTTTTTGATTACAGTCGATGCAAATGGTGGGATTGTAGGAGTGCCTGACCTAACAACCTTCCGGGAACTTGAGCATCCTGGACTTGGTGGTTTCTTGACTTACACCTACACCAACTACACTTTGACGGATACGCCACGCAGTGCAACAATTCCAGTCTTCAACGGCATGACCGTAGAGTTTGCGCAGCCGCGATATCTGCAAGTTTACACAATCATCAATGGAGACTGGCAAGAAGTCTCGGAACTGGCTCCCTCCGCAATCATTCCGATTCACGACCGCGGTAGCTCAGTGTCCACCCTTCCGTTTCAACAGCAGAATGTGACATTTGTGGATACGGATCCTCGCTGTGGCTACCTTGGTGGAGAAATCTCTTTCAATCTTCCGACTGATGCCGATTTCACATATCTGAAGTCGTGGAGAGTTTATTTTGCAGAGGACTTGACGGGTACAAACCCAACCCCTGCTGTGGAGTTGCCGATGGCATTGGAGAATGCTGTAAATCTTTCCTCAGACTACGAGATTGGCGATCGAACGGTTCTCGTGATTGCAGGTGTGACCGACAGTGGTGAGATCAACATGTCCCTGCCCGATGTCGATGCCTGTACTACAACTACTTCAAGCACTACAACATCCTTCACAACCACAGTCACTTCCACAAGCACGACATCATCAACAACAATGTCTACCAGCAGAAGCTCATCAACATCAACTTCCACAAGTTGCACCACCAGCAGCAGCAAGTCCACCAGCTCCACGACAACATCCTCTACTTCAACATCTAGCAGCACAACGTCCACCAGCAACACTGCTACCAGGTCATCAAGCAGCACCACGAAATCCACAACTTCCAGCAGGACGAGTTCCAGCAGTTCTTCGACATCATCGAGCACCAGCTGGTCAACATCTACGTCTTCCAGCAGCACAAGTAGCAGCACCACAACCGAAAGCTCCACTTCTTCATCCACATCCACTTCCACAAGCTCAACGAGCAGTAGCTCTACATCAAGCAGCACCAGCAGCAGCTCCAAAACATCGTCTTCATCCACCAGCACTTCAAGTTCAACTAGCTCCAGTAGTAGCAGTAGCTCCTCATCCACAAGCAGCAGTTCCTCTTCAAGCACCACAAGCAGTGCCACTTCCAGTACGACATCATTCACAACAACGTCTTCCAGTACCAGCTCATCAACATCCACGTCAACGAGCTCCACCAGCAGCAGTAGCAGGTCCTTATCAAGCACGTCCACCAGCTCCACGACAACATCCTCTACATCAACATCGCGTTCTAGTTCAACGGAGACGTACTCCTCGACATCTACCAGGACGTCCAGTACCCTCACCAGCAGTTCCAGCCAAAGCAGGACCTCGACGTCCTTAGCGTCGAGAGCAGAACCACCGACCCTGCAACTGGCAGGTGGGAATCCGCTGAGATCTGGGCTGATACCATCAACTCTTGGGGCATTTGGTGCCGGTCTATTTTGCTCCGCCATTGGTGTCTACGCTTTCCTGGCGTACAGACGCCCCAACAGTTCCCAGGTGGCACCAGAGGAGTTCTCACAGATTCAGCCACAATCTTGCATGAGTGGCGTAAGTCCATCAGCAAGTCCCAGTCCTAGCCCTGGTTCGTTACAAGTGATTATCCACGAGGCAGCGGAACTTGCAGAGCGACTTGCGCATGCCTTGCGTCAAGCGGATGCACCGGGCGGATTGGCTCATTCTGCTTATTCTGAGCTAGGTGCTGAAGAACTGCTAGAGGACCTGGAGAGGCTTTTCGGCCGTCATCGGCGACATTTGTCCAGGGACGCGGCAGGTGTGTGCGAAAATTGGGTGTCCAGAAAGCTGTCAGATCGAGGACTTGCTCCAACTTCTCCAGAGGCTGCGCTGCTGCGTGATTTTGCAGAAGCAATGCAAAACCTCGTGCGAAAGCGGCAGGAGCAAGGACCGAGTTGGCGAATGTCCAACTTGGGTGGGAACCCTTTTGCAGAGCTGCGTCAGCAAATCAGGGCATGGCAGACTCATTTTTTCTCTGAGGTTGGCCCTGAGCAGCGGCAAGACTCAGATGAAACTGCAGGTCAGCAGGATTTGCAGCAGCTGTCGGGAGCGCCTTCTCGAAGTCCAGATACGGGTTGTTTGCAGACTGCAGTCTGCGTAGACTTGCTGGCGGCTCTAGAGGAGCTTGTCAGCAGTAGGAATTCAATAGGAGCAGAATTCAAGCACGACATTGCGCGAGTTTGCCAGCAGTGGAAATCAAGGCACATTCAGGCAGAAAGCTTGCCAGATGGTGCCGGTTGTGCTCTTCTCTTGCGCAGCCTGTCCGACCTGCTTCGAACATCGTTGAGCAGCGACAGAGGCCAGCAGCAAGGAGGACGTCGTGCCTGTAGCAACCTGCTGAACGCTTTGAAGAAGCTTTTCAGCCAGGGTCTTGAGCGGCCCGGGACAGGTCTCGCAAGCGAGATCTCCAAGGTCTGCAAGAGCTGGCAGATAAGAGAAGGTATATCTGCTGACAGCGAGTCAGCTTTGCTTGTGAGGTGCATTGCAGATACGCTTCAAGCTGAAGCACGGCACGAAGCAAGCAACGCACTTGTGGCCATGTCATGTGGCACCGAAGAAGTCGGTCAAAAAAGCG